CTTGTAAAACCTCTTGTCAACCATTTTATTTCAGAAATTTTTTTCCAGAAATAATTTGACGATTTATTTACTGAGAATGAAAGACTTCTATCTTTATACATCATGACTCTACCTCACCGGATCTTAATTATCATACATGCTAGAATTCTAAAAATTTGTATGTAAATATTAAATTGATAACGAAGATCAACTATAGAACGGTATTTCGATTGATTAAGTAAAAAGAGAATTAGGATAAATGGTATTTATTTTTGGCTTCAAGCTTTTTAAGCTGAACAATGTTGGTTACTAAGTTTTAGATTTTTAAAAAAATCAAATACAGGACGAATTCTTAATGTTTTTAAGATACAACTAGAGATTCGTCTATGAGTGTTGTTTACCGAAAAGATGAGCTGATTTGCTAGACTATTTCTGTCTTGGAAAATGTCTCTGAGCCGTCTACATCAATACAATAATCATTAACATATCATTTTCCTTTAGTACAAGGTTCTTTTCGAAGATTTTGTAAGCAATAATGTTTAATTATTAGCAATGCTTCGCTAAAATTTTGAGCTCATCTCATGCAACTATTACTGAGTTATGGTTTTCAAAGAAGAATAGATAGGTTTTCTCTATACTAATAGTCACCATTACTAGAAAAGGACTGATGAAATTCGTCTATTTTTTCTTGATTTTCGAATAGACTTTCTTATTGATACTATCTTTTAGAAATAATTGTCGAATCATTTAAGAACCAATAGGGAATAAATTGACTTGTTTAACTGTATTGAAGTGAATAGACAAATAATAGAAAAATTACATAGACAAAAATGCAATAATGTATTGATCAAATAGATTATTCTTATCTTACACTTCGTCTACTAGTTTCATGTGATAGTTCCAAGAAAGTTATTTATTCAGGTGTTTTTAACACAATAAAAACAACGAATTTCTATAAAAATTATTCTTATAAAAATGCCATCTGTTTCTTCTTTAGTAAAGTAGACTTCTTTTTTGAATAAAATGTTTTTGTAGTTGAAGAAATAAAAAATTTATTAATTTAAATCTGGCAAAGAAAAACATATTATTTATTTTTTCACAAATGAATGTCATGATTTTCTTTTCGTATTGGTCGACAATTGTGCTTGCTTGGATGTATTATTTTCTCGTGAGTGTGCATTTTGTTGTTTATCCGGAGAACGATTATGTTCACTATGAACAAACCATTCAGGAGCACCGAATACGTGTTCAGTTTTGGGTTTTTTTTCTTGTTGTTCATTGTTATTGAGATTGACTGGTGATGGAATTTGTTCACACATGGCATCCCACCAAAGTGGTCTTGGATATGGTACTGGTTCTTTACTTTTACGTGTTGCTGGATCAATATGTACGAGTAAATTATTACTACCACCTAGTTTACATCGACGAATATAATCCGAATCAGTTTCTCGAACGTAAATTGGTTTCGGTTGATTAATTGTTGCTTCATCATCAAATACACCATTAAGATAAGGTATTTGTGATGGTGGAGGAGCAGTAACTAATTCACGATTACCTTTTTTTAAAGGTGAATGAATATACCATATTTCATCTTCTGGTTTTCGTCGTAAATAGGACATTTGTGTTTGAATAAATGATGAAAAATGTATAAATTTACACCGATTCCATGTTTCAAGTAGCTCGTCTCATAATCAAAATTGTTTCTCTATCAATAACCCCTATTCAAAAAATATGTTCATAGATGTCAGTATAACTTTTAAAATGTTCTCTATAATGGTGGCGTACTATATTATCCAACCGACTGATTCATGATAATATGATAATAATATATTGATTGGATATTTTATTTATTATTTTTCAAACGAAAGATTTAACACAAAAAATCAAACAATGGAATCTACGACAACTATAAATGGTCTTGATCATGAAATTGAATCATCTGATAATACTTCAATAAGAAATCATAATGATGAAATATCAAATGAAAATATTCATTCATATGATAATCATGAAATTCAATCAACAATAAAATTAGATAATGATGCTGAATTAATATTAAAACTTGATAATTTATTACTTGATGATCAAAATGATTCTGAAATATATTTTCATTCATATCAATCAGAAAATGAAATGTCATCTATAATGTCTTTAATAAGTGGTACATTATCTGAACCTTATTCTATATATACATATCGTTATTTTATTCATAATTGGCCTGATTTATGTTTTTTATGTTCAAATCGAAAAACAAATGAATTAATTGGTGCTATTGTATCAAAATTAGATTTACATAAAAAAATTTTACGTCGTGGTTATATAGCTATGTTAGCTATTAATGAAGAATATCGACGAAAAAAAATTGCGTCAAAACTTGTTCTTATGAGTATAAGAGAAATGATAAAACGTGGTTGTGATGAAATTGTACTTGAAGCTGAAGTAACAAATGATGCTGCACTAAATCTTTATGAAAATTTAGGATTTTTACGTGAAAAACGTTTATATCGATATTATTTAAATGGTGTTGATGCTTATAGATTAAAACTTTGGTTAAAATAAGAAAAGAAAAGAAAAAAAAAAACTTCTTTTTTTTTTCTTGTCAGATGTTTTTGTTTGTTGGATAAATAAGAAAAATATCGTTTGTGTTAATTCGTTTGAGAAATTTCTAATATAGCTTTCTAACCAATTTATTTGTCTTTTTTTTTGTTTTATTTATTAGAAATTTATATAAATTTTATATGTAATTCGAATTTTATCTTGTTTTAGAATTTATATACATACGATATACCATCAAATAAGATTAAGGTAATTTTATTTTGTAATATTTTATTGTTTGGAAAGAGATAATTTTACTATGGAATTTTTCATAATTATTCTGATGTCTTTTTTTTCTTTGGGATTTCTATTATGAAATCTTTTCTCTTTAATAATTAGCATGCATTTTTATATGATGTCTGTTAGTAGGAAAATATGTGTATTTATTAAGAAATAATAACATTAATGGATGTTGACACATCTGGATTTCTAAAAACAAAAAAAAACGGAAAAGAAAAATTGCTTTCTATTAACAAACTATTGTGTTCTTTTTTTCTTATAATTAAAGATAGAATGTATAGAGACACTCCAGCTGTTAGTCTTTAGGAAACTTATGGTAATATTAACGTAGAGAAATTCTGAAGCCTGGTTTTGTTTTTTTATTATAAATATCATCAGATGATGAGAATCATTTACATACAAAATTTCAAATCAAAAATCTTTATTCTAACTTTTTCAGATTATGCTACAGACATTCGTCCTTGTATCTATAAATATTTAGTGTGATATCACCTAGCAAGGGAACTTCTTCAGCTGCTCCCTTTCGATTTCTATCATTTTTTTGTCTATAGATACTACATAGTGTTCTAATAAAAACACTAAAAAAAAAATTCGGTTTCTATTGAGATTTAACTTTCCATGAATAATTTATACAACATGTATCTTTTTGAAAGCTTCATATTTCGAAGAGATCTTGTTCAAAATTCAATAGCTTAGTCATATCTCAATAGAACCCAAAATCGTTTTAGGGTTTTTATTAGAACGCTATGTAATAATTGAAATCGGAAGAAGACAGTTGAAAAGATTCTCGTGTAAGAGCAAAAAGGTTTTACAAAAAAAAATTCTAGTTTCATTTGTAGTGCATACTTTCTTAAATACTTTTATTATTCTTATGTGTAATTTATAATTGATTAGACTAAATCTTTTCAATTATTTCATTGATAAGACAAAAACAAAAATCTTCTTTGTAATACTTGCTTTCTATTTATACAAATCAGCTCAAATTTAATTATCAATACTCTTATTATATCAAAACAAAAAAAGAAAAAAAGAAAAAAGATTATACAAGAACACTAAGTGAACAAAGTTGACACTGTTCATGATTTGTTGTCGTCGTTGTTGTATTTGATGATGTTGATGTTGGAGGAGAATTTGTATCAATATGTAATGGACGACAAGTTCGATGATTATTTGACATTATTTGTGAATTATAATCATCACTTAAAATTTCTTGATAGATATGATAATTTTGTCCCTGATTAAAATTTGAACTAGCATCAGTTGATGATGAATCACCACTGTGATATTGTGTTGGACATGTACATTGTGTAGAAAGACTTGGTTGATAACTAATAGGTCGTGGATAATGATGACGATGATGACATCGTTGTGGATATGTTGATGATAA